TCTGCACACGTAACACAACTACTTCATTTTAGAGCAACAGTTGGGATCTTTTGAAGTGGAGCTCTGTGGAGAAGATATGAACAATTTTTTCCTGCTCTCAGAGGAGTAAGACACTTTTTTTCTCTCTCCTGCACTCCCTGATCTTCCCTGCTTTTCTGCTTAGTGCCTCCTCTACGTTTTTCATCCGAAACCAAAAATCATGGATTTTTTTAAATAGATTTGGTTAGCTGGTCTCTTAATAAATTTTTGGAACATTTTTTTTTTCCATGGGAGGACATGACAATGGTGGGACCTCTGTTCTGCTCTGTTCAACTAACTGGATATATATTTGGACTCTGATCACTGAATTTCTACAGATTGGCTTGGTGGTCTCCTGGTGTTCTACAAAACAACGTCGGTGGCTATTCAGGCCATTTCCTGGCTGCCTGATCAATATGAAGGATTGCCGTGCCATCAGCACTAGGACTTATGCCGTGTACGAGCTGGAACTCGGTCTGCAAGCGTTTCTGTTGAGGGTCATGGGCCGACTGCGGTCTATGGACTTTGCTGGCAAGAAGAACTGATCTTGGAGAAAGCTGATAGCTCGGCTCGGAGAGATTGCCCACACTGTCTGATTGGATTCGCCACATTGAGATGTACCAGTGGACATTAAGGCAGATGGAAAATTATTATTTTCTGCCTGACCGAATGCATTTTCTCTGTTCCCAAACAACTGATTACAGATTTGTCTCCCCCCAAGTGGCCTTGAAGGGCTGTGGATCTAATTTCTCCTGGTGTTTATGTCGACTTGTGGCTCCCCCCACCTCCCCTCCCTCTCACTCCATCTGTAATCTGATCCCTGAAGAACAATCTGGAACTGAACAGAATGAACAATTCAACATAATTTTTCTGAACTATGGGTTTATCTTTTGGGGACTAGATTCTTTGGACTCATTCTTCAGATATTCATACAAGTGCATACAACATTCATGGCTTCAGATACACGCCCTCTAAACTCACTTACTCCTCTGGCTAATAAATGTGCTCTATGCAGAGCTTTTTTATAAACACCATAGTGTGTCACATTTTGTTGATATAATATGATGTTTTTTTTCCTTATCTATCGTTGTGTAGCCTGATAAAATCCAGACCCTTGTCCTTCGCTCTGCTTCATACGAGGGTCCGGACTCTCGGCTATAGAGAAGCAATTCTTGCTGGAGGAGTGGCCTCTGCTGAAGTTTAAAATGATTGGTTCAGTTGGCTGCGATGTATGCGTGCCAGTTCCACTGTGATGGAGGCTAAGCTAAGAAGCTAACCGGAAATCGTGTGCGCTGTAAACAACCCTACAGAGAGGAGAGAAGTACCGAGCCGAACGAGCTGACTGTAAATGAGAGCTGCTGCTTTGTCAGACAAATTTAATTTAATTCGGAAGCCTTATCAACACGGACTGGCTTCATTCACTTCCTCCACTGCCATTGTTTAACTAACTAGCAGACACTGCGCAGAAAATCGAAGTCGTTCAAAACTCCGCCTTCTGTTTGCTGATTGGCCCGGGTAAAACAAACTACAAGCAGACACTGCGCAGAAAATCGATGTTCTGTTCTCTGATTGGCCCGAATGAAATGCTCCTGAAGAAATCCTTGTCTATGGGAGAAATCCCAGATGGAGCAGTGACGAGAAACGAGAATTGAGCAGAAGGGCCAGGCTAATCCTTGTGTGGTATTTTTGTTTTTCTTTTTAAAGTGACCCCTGCTGGTTGCCGCATGACCGGTTCACCTGTTCCCCCATGTTTTTGTCATGTGTGTCTTCTTGAATGAGTGTTCTTAAATGTAATTTCATTGTGCTCCTTACAATAACAACAAAAGACATCATCATCATCATCATCGTCACCATTATCAATTTATACCTCACATGTTGTAGATATGGCTTTTTGAACAACCTCAGTTTCGAGGAAAAAAGTTGTTTGACAGCCAGTAATCTCTAACAATTCACAGCAGTTTATCCCCTTCAATTTCACATTACACAGTTTCTTACATAATCATTTAGAATTATTTGCATGCACAATTAGCTGTAACTCTTCCTATAAGGCCTGGGACAAATCTGGCTTAGCGTAATATTTCCTCCGGAATAATCATTTAATTTGCAACTGACAGCAAAAGAACAGATGCTAAAACAGTGTTCGCATGAACAACTGTTAAATTTTCAAGTCTGGACTTGTTCTWAGACATATTCACTTAGCTTGTTGGTCCAATAAGAAAWATTTGCTCTTCTCTAAACTTAAGTCACTAGAAGACGTGTTTATATGAGCCTTTTGAACACATTTATTCCATAAAATCCCCACTTCAAAAGATCTGAACTGTTCTTTAATGTGGAACAATATACCACATGTTATGTGATGTGTAGATGACACAAAGTAAACAGCTAGACAASTTAATTTAAAGAAGAAGAAAATTAAACATCACCAGCTGAAATGTGGGTTTAGACTTTTCAATGAATATCACAGAGCAGCATTGCGTGTGCACATTGTGTTATACCTGGTTTTGCTGTTATCCTATCCCCTGTAAATACCGGTACTTTCTCTGCAAACAACGAGAAAGAGTAAATTAACAAGGTTCACGAGTGCCAGATGTTTCCCAGCAGTCCAGAGTCAGGTACAGCATCCGCCTACCTTCCCGGTATTTGCAGACAAAGTTGTTTTTAGAGCTGCAGTTGTCATCGTTCCACTGGAAGAGGAAATGACCGTCTTCATCACGCGGTGCAGAGGGCTGGTGGTACAAAACTGCACACATGCCAGTACCACATGACGGCTCATCCCAGTGCCAGTTCCTAKAAAAATAATAATAATAAGATGCACAAATTTAAAGTCACAGCTGGTGAAATGGGATATTATGTAGTCTGAATGCAATTATTTACTTTATAGTTTTCACATAATTTTTATTTTCCTAAGGCATTTCTTCCCAAACATGATGTCATTTTTACAGAACCTGTACTTGGCCTTGCTTCCATCCAACCAATAGTACTGAGAGGGGCAGCCTGGACCAGTGTTCCCTGCCCTGTGAGGCTGAGGGCTGCGGCGGAGCCCGATCCAGAAATCGCCATCTCTGACTTTCAGCTCTTGGATGAACCTCTCTATAAGTCGCTGCTCGCTCTCTGTCTCGATGCTGAGCAACTCGCCACCATCCGACCGACAGGACTGCCTRGCATCCTCAAAGCTCAGCCTCCGCCTGATGTCCTGGAAGTAGAAGGCCTTGTAGCACGGGCGCTCCGTTCCACGGCGACAAATTCTCTCCCCTGGACACCAACGTGTGCGTCAAGGAGATGAGGAGATAATAAAGACAATGTGTAACTGACGGTAAATAATTTAAAAAGAAATTTACATTGTGTGGATTGTTTATAGATGTTTGTCTGTTTAGATGTACACTGTGTTGGTTGTTCATAAATGTTGTTTGATTTAATATGTGTATTTTCAATTAGTTTAGTTTTTTTTTAGTTCTAATAATGAATGGCTGAAAAGCAACTGACAGCAGGACTTGAAATGTTTGCTGTTAAAGAAACAAAGATCTTGTGCTTTGCATTCCCCTGGTGAAAGCAGCAAGGTACATTTTGTTTATTTCACTTGTTTATGAGCCCATGCTCTTATTTTACTGTTTGTARACATGTTTGTTTTAGTTTTCATGGTGATCGTGATGATGATTGTGATGYTGGTGATCCTGGTGATTTGGTGATCATGGAGCACCAGATAAAAAAAAAAGCTTAAAATCACCCGTCGAGGCTGTGCTGAACTTTAAGAACTGGGAGGCTGCTACACAAAGTTATACTTGGGTATGTCATGATAAAAAAATAAATAAATAAATCAATTATAGTAACGTCTACATGAGAACCCAGTCAACAGACATTTAGCTAGAAGRGCATCAATGCTGAACTGAGCAAAACATTTAGTACTGAAATCAAAGCAAAGCAGTAATTGAATGAATATAAAGGGCTCTGTAGAAAGGCCTGAACAACTGCTATTTTTACTGCTGGAAATAGTTCTTTGTGAGGTTTTGGTTTGGAGAAATAAACTTGATACATCCACCAATTTTCTTTATCCGTCTACTCTTGCAGAATCACAAGGGAGCTGGTGCACAATGGCTTAAGCAAATGCAACCGTGAAACCCTTTACACAARAATGAATTATATATTTCTCAGTTATTCTGACAGAAATGTTACGATATTTGTCTCGGAAGTGTCACCAGAAGTGCTATAGATAGCTGCTGCTGCTGTTTATGCTTGCAAATACCCATACTCATGGAATATGAAACTGACTGAAAACCTCGCATAAACTCTATTTCTCCAAACGTAAGTTGTTCYAAGAGCTATTCAGAACAAGTAAGATACTGACGGTTTATAAACAATCCATAGAACCACACACACACAAACAAAATCTGGACTATTGCTTAAAAATAAAAATTGTACCTATGTGTCTAAAGTTACTGTTTGATAATTATTGATACTGACAAGCTCTTAAGTTTGATCTTTATTTTTTTAAAGAAAAGTGAATCCTCAAAGTGGACACGTGAAAGGAAGAAAAGTTCACTTCAGGGCAGGACTTTGTGCATGAATCAAAAAATATGACAAATTTTAGTTTCTTATGTAACCCTTCTTCAACAGCATGAGCAAAAAGACCCAGTGATGTGTTGATTATTCACAATCCTGGCGGAGCAACAGTTATATAAGCGCACGAAGGCTATTATTCTAATGACAGACGATAAAGCAGTTTGTGTGTGTGTGTGTGTGTGTGTGTGTGTGTGTGTGTGTGTGTGTGTGTGTGTGTGTGTTAACGTTAAGTCCCACAAAATAAAATTGTCTTTTGATAGTTTTTTTTTCAAACTTCCTCGATAAAGCCAAACAAATCCCGTGTCCTTGAAATAAAACAAACAGGCTTATATGATGTCAACGTTTTAAGCGCAAAGGAGGTTTTCTTCTGTTTTGAGCCGAAGAGCTTACCATGTATTTTTGAAGCGGATCCCTGGTGGAACAACACGGCGATGACGGAGCCAAATAACTTCATAAAATCCATCTCTACATGTTCATCCGATGTGCTGTTTGAATAACGCGTAAAGTTGGGGGAGGAAAGAAAGTTTTAAAGAGCGTAAAGCTCAAACTTTGGCTGATGTCAGAGGGAACACAGTCTGTTAAAATATAAAAAAGTGGGTCGGCAGCAGAAGGCGTGTGTATATGGCGTCTGTTTGAGGGGAAAAAAACACGACTTAGTCCAAGGAAAAACAACTCGAAAACGTCACTTTTTATATACTTATTCGTTGAACCCAACAGATGTTTAATACTAACTGCGCTAAACTAGTGCAAAAATCTATTTAGCGCACTGTTATGTCATTATGAACTGAATAGAGTTCTTTGTCCGTCCACTATCATGCGCTCTGCATTAAAACCAACCTTGTGCTCCCCACATTTGAGGATCAAAATGATAGTGCAGTTTTTTTTAAGAGGGGTTCATTATTGACATTATGAACAATTATTATCTTACCTGTTGTACATGGCTTTTTTGAACAACCTCGGGCTATGTTCACACTGTTCAGTTCTAATTTTCTGCTCAGATTGGACATCTGTTGTGTTGATGAAAATGTGGGGAGTTCTGAGCCTTAAACTTCATGATGCTGATATAATATTGGTACAGTTCATATTGATATATTTTATTACGCATGGTTTACTTCTAAATGYACTTTATTCCACTTTTGGGACTCTTTAAACATATAAACAACTTTTGGTATCAATAAAATCAATGGATTGAGCTGTTTACCCCTATCTAAAAGTGAAAACACAGAATAAAAGTTTGAACTTTGGATGCTTAAATTTGTAATAACTGTCTGTTTATGATGTAACACACGTCTGTAAGATAATCTTTGCTGAACCAACTGTAAGTTTTAAAAACACTCAGGTCGTGCTGGAAAAATATGCTGACAGCCGCGATCGGGGCACGAGGTGAAACCTGGGCCAGAAAAATAAATAGGAACAGGTTTGAAAAGAGAAGGATATCCCATGAACAGGAAAACAAGCAAGATGAGGAAGAAGACAGTTTTTTCTTTAAAKCACCACACTTCCTGTTCATTGCTTTGGATCAGTTTTCAGGCACTCCGCCTTAATTTCCAGCATGGGAACGACTGAGGAGTGATGGTGTAATAGCAGCAGAATACGACCCATTAATTGAGCCTCTTAACCATCCATCAATTAAAGTCAGTAGAGTTGATTTAGTTTTGAATCTTTTTTTGCAACTGCTTGCTATGCGTGAAAGATACTGCWCACTWTTAATATTTTATTGGATCATCATCTTGTTAAATCAGTGTAGACAAACAAAACTAATTCCACAATGACAACATTTTTAATTAAGTGACATTCAGACAAATTTGGTACTGGCTTTGGWTGTTCGTCTCAATGTAAACTAAAAWAATATTAAATAAGCAGCACTTTGCACATAATTTACTAAAATAATGCCRTAAACCGGCCACCTCTACAAACCACAAGTTCAGATCCCATTTTATGTGCCTAATATGGTCATGCTGAATTAGATTACCACAAATATTTATTGTTCTGAGACTGAAGTTTGCRACTGGTTTCCAGTACACCACTGGATCACAAGTCTTTTAGACCCAGAGATCAAGGTGATGTTTGAGCTCTGACTGAATTTGTCCAGCAGAGGACACCAATGTGCTCTAGAAACAAGTCTGAGCAGCAGCTTCCTTTTACCTGAAGAACAATCCAGCAAACTGCAGCATCATCATTGGAAAAAATGTGTTAAATGTTATAATTAACAACAGTCAGAAAAGGGCTGAAAATGTGTAGCTTATTGGTTTTGAAAGGTTGCCAGTTTGATGCATATTTCAGGAAAACAACGACAGTCCATTCGAGATCAACAACATTGTCCCTGAGCAAAGCACCAGACCTTATGTGTAATGTCCAAATACAAAATACCAAATTAAAAATATGTGGATCATAACGRACATGATATGACAACTTTCAGAAAGACCCCATGGATAAATTGATGATAATCTTGTTTACGAGATGTGCCTACAGAGTACAGTTTCATCTCTTCACACGCTTCCCAGCGTATCCTCTTTCTGTTAGACCTAAATCTGTCTCTTCCAATAACTTTGTGCCACTTAAAGATAAAACGAATAAAGGGGGATATKTTTCTTTTTTTTCTGAGACCATAGTCAATATTTAGAAAAAACAAAACAAAACAAAGACAAAACAGATAGCTGGGCGAAAAATGTCAATGATATAAATTAAGTCAAAACTTCAAAAATAACTATTATATATTTTTATAATGAAGGGAACTAAGACAATTAAGGTGGCACTCATACTGGCACACAAAAAGAAAGGAAATTAGCATTTGTTCATAGCAATGCTTCTTGGCAATAAATTTTAAACTGGGCATCTTATTGGCAGAACCTGGGGGTACCAGAAGCTCTAAAAAATTATCAACAACAAAATAAGCTGTTTGGCAGAGTGGATTTGGCAAATGTTTTCATGTGTGCAACCCATTTACTCATCATCCCATGAATGCATGTTCCTTATTAAATTAATAAAATTAACAGGCTTTCCAACTGTATAAGATTTATTGCCAATATACAAACATTTCCTTAGTGTATACACTCTGGAAATTATTTTTAGGACATACAAAATCATTTTTTCTTAATATTTTTTGTCATAATGTTTAATATTTACTCAATCTGGCATTCCTAATAGTGACATGAACCAGGAAATGTTACAATAAGTCTCTACAGGTACAGCGGGTAAAATAAGTATTGAACACGTCCCATTTTTCTCAGTAAATATATTACTAGAGGTGCTAATGACATGAAATTTTCACCAGATGTTGGTAACAACCCAAGTGATCCATACATACAAAGAAATCAAACCATAAATGTCCAGAAATGAAGTTATTTGTAATAATGTGGAATGGCACAYGGAAAAAGTATTGAACACACTTACTGAAATTTATCTAATACTTTGTACAAAAGCCTTTGTTGTCAATGACAGCTTCAAGACGCCTCCTGTATGGAGAAACTAGTGGCATGCATTGCTCAGGTGTAATTTTGGCCCATTCTTCCACACAAACAGTCTTCAAATCTTGAAGGTTTCGTGGACCTCTTCTATGAACTCTGATCTTTAGTTCTTTCCATAGATTTTCTGTTGGATTCAGGTCAGGTGATTGGCTGGGCCATTCCAGCAGCTTTAGTTTCTTTCTCTGAAACCAATTGAGAGTTTCCTTGACTTTGTGTTTGCGCTCATTGTCTTGCTGAAATGTCCAGCCACGRTTCATCTTCATCATCCTGGTAGATGGAAGCAGATTTTTATCAAGAAAGTCTCTGTACGTTTTCCCACTCATCCTTCCTTCAGTTATTTGAAGTTTGCCAGTACCATATGCTGAAAAACAGCCCCACACCATGATGTTCCCACCTCCAAACTTCACTGTTGGTATGGTGTTTTTGGGCTGATGTGCAGTGCCATTTGACCTCCAAACATGATGTGTATTCTGGCATCCAAACAGTTCAATGTTGGTCTCATCTGACCAGACTATATTCTCCCAGTATTACACAGGCTTGTTTAAATGTTGTGCAGCAAACTTTAAAGGAGCTTCAACATGCTGTTTCTTCAGCAGTGGAGTCTTGCGTGGTGAGCGTGCATACAGGCCATGGTGGTTCAGTGCATTACTTATTGTTTTCTTTGAAACAATCGTACCTGCTAATTCCAGGTCTTTCTGAAGCTCTCCACAAGTGGTCCTTGGCTCTTGGACAACTCTTCTGATAATTCTTTTCACTCCTCTGTCAGAAATCTTGCGAGGAGCACCTGGTCGTGGTCGGTTTATGGTGAAATAATGTTCTTTCCACTTCTGAATTATGGCCCCAACAGTGCTCACTGGAACCTTCAGAAGTTTAGACATTCTTCTGTAACCGATGCCATCATTATGCTTTGCAACAATAAGGWTGTGAAGGTCTTGAGAGAGCTCTTTACTTTTACCCATCATCAGATGTTTCTTGTGTGATACCTGGCCATCATTTGGGACTGAACCAGCTGATATTAACTTGCATTGACAAGGGGCAGGCTTGTTTTCTAATTACTGAGAGAGTTCAGCTGGTGTCTTGGCTTTCCATGCCTTTTTACACCTCCCTTTCTTCATGTGTTCAATACTTTTTCCCTGTGCCATTCCACATTATTACAAATAACTTCATTTCTGGACATTTGTGGTTTGATTTCTTTGTAAGTATGGATCACTTGGGTTGTTACCYACATCTGGTGAAAATTTCATGTCATTAGCACCTCTAGTAATATACTGTATTTACTGAGAAAAATGGTGACGTGTTCAATACTTATTTTACCCGCTGTAGGTATTTAAGCAGGTCCTGGTGGCTCTCAGACAGGTCAGGCTGTGAACAGGTGAGCTCTTGGTAAACACTGGCAAATCACGTCATGGCAGAGGATCCTTAACAGGGACACAGGCATGGACAGGGTAAGTACTCAGATTAAAACATAAACTGCTCGGCTGCATTACCATAGTAGTGTGATGCTCCAGTGAAGATCCAGACAGTACTGGGTGAACCTCAACTAGTGCAGGAGCTCATCGAGGAGGATCACTGACAGCTGCAAGTAATATATCCAAGAGCCACTCATGAAACAGGGAGCAAACATCAATCACCACAAATAGAAGTCAAAGTGTTAAACTGACAAAACCTTTTGTCTCTGTCAGTTTCTAATTTATGAAAGTTTAAGTTGAAAAGAATGTTTAAGCAGAAATTTAAAATATGGTTGACTATCAAATATTCATCCCTTGGGATTATTTTAAACATTGTCATCAGACAAATTAAAAAAGTAGTCAATTAAAAATAGACAGAAATATGTTTTCTGTGAAAGTTCTGTTTTTATTTTTCATTGAAGTCAATGGTCATTTGGCAGTTTTTGAAACTAAAAAGCTTGTCTATTGTTTAAAAGATAATTTACAAGCAAACACATATTTATTCTTTTGATGTAAAAATAATACCTACAGTTATAAAACTGGGCATTTTAGTAAATCTAGGAATGGTTTTAATCTTTGTCACATTCTCTCTCTCTCTCTCTCTCTCTCTCTCTCTCTCTCTCTCTCTCTCTCTCTCTCTCTTACTATTGTTTGAAATAAATATTATTTTTTGCAAATAGGGGCAGATAAGATTTTTTCTTCTTCCGATACCTTTTATTTGATTTGTATTGTTTTGTTGTGTGTAAATGTGTTTTGTTTTTTTAAATGAATTAAATAAAGTTAATAATAATAAAAAAATTCACAGTAAATTTTTGATAATGTCAATGATGCACCATAAATTCAAATGATCATACAATTGAAAAGGTTATGATTGTTGAATTGGGTTTTAAAGGAGGTATAGCATGCAAAACTCATATTTTTAGCAGTTAAATTCATTTTGTTATGCACTTAGAGTCTCTAGTAGTGCAGAAAATTTTAATTTAGTCTCTCCTGGTGCGGCGCAGATATATATTCTGTATAAATCAGGCTTTTCAGTTTTCTCTATTTTCTGTAAAGTTTTCTGAACTATTATGCCACAGTATCTGCCAAAAAAGGTCTTACTAGCTACAATTTCATRATCTTCATTGATTTTTCGCACTGGMTCAAACTCCTGCTCCATCATATAAGGCTGGATGGACAAATCTTCTGTTGTTGACGTCTTTTAATTAATTAGTTTCTAAATAAATAGCGTCTGTCTACACTACAGTTGTAAACTCTTCAGTCAACTAGAACACATAAAGTGCCTCATTTGGATTTAAAGAGACAGCCTCAAAAAGAGTTGATCTCAGACACATCTCAGGAAAGGGGTGAAAGAGGGGCTTGTGGACAATAAGGAGGTATTCAGACCAAATCATTGCAGTTTCACTTTATAAAGATCCCAACTGGATGATTTAAATGTGAAATAAAGGATATAAATGTGTCCTTTAAAGAATGCAGATAATGAGAATAAATCACAGAAAAACAATTAATTTTTTTTGTTTCCAAACAGGTGTAATTAAATCCAATGAGTTTGACGTTACTGTAAATGAGTGATGCATAACTGTGGACATTGTAACACGTCTTCTCCCACCCTTCATGAGAATTTTGGCAGTGGCATCATTCTATATTTCTGAAGAACAATGGGTGTTCTCAGTTTGTAACAACAGTGGCCTATAGCTARGTCAAATACCTGCTCCGCAGCTCTGTGGAGACAATACAATACAGGTTAGACAAGCAGGGAGAAGAAACAAAGTGTTGGGTGAGTACTGCCTTACTCACGGCAGCTGTGATCATTTTTCAAATCTTCAAAGCGGTTTGTACTCCACGCATAACTCGTTGGTTAGGATGGTCATTTCTACACATTTATTTTACTCACTTCAAACATTACTCATGCTTGAACCGCGATGTTCGAATCGTGTGGTTTCTACTGATTTTTGCTCTTATTGTAATAGGTTTATTTCTTCACTGCCTCAAATTTCTCCCCCCGTAATATTGTCTTTAATATCCATTTCCGATAGAAACCTGAACCATTTATAGCTGACCTGAGGGATCTGTATCACATCCCATATTATTCCACTGGATGAACATTTGATAATGCCCGAAGCTGCTGCTGTCTACATGACAAATCACGACACCGAGGATGTGTGTCCATGTGTGCACTGGGAGGGCTCATGAATTCTGATATCTGTGGCTTCAGGTGTCACTTAGACTATAAAAGCCATTATACTCTTTTAGCTCCGAGAAACCTGCTAAAGAGCCACCAGCAAGGTAAGACTCTCCTCGGGCTAAGCACTGTAGACCTGGTTTGGTTTTAAATGGGCTGCGAATGTAAAAAGGTCTCATTTTTTAACAAGTGGTTTAGAAAAGACTTTGTAGTCTTTTGATGGTGCCTTTGAATATTTCTTGCTGTATGTTGACCCTCAAAAAAAAAAAAAAATCATTTTACTAACATGCGGGTGGGGTCCAGAGACAGACAGAGGACCAGAGATACCAGTGCAGAGGAGCAGAGAAAGAAGGATGTGGATAGATGGCAAACTTATTTCTAGCAGAGCAGGTTGGGAGACAGTTATTTAACTTTACTTGTTTATTTTACAGAAGTTGAAGTTGAGTTTTCGAAAAAAATCCGTTAGATTAAAAAAAAGGTCTGTGAGATTGCCCTGTAGCTGTATACCTGAAAAACAGGAAAATCTGTGTAATTTACGGACAATCCGTATGTTGGCATGTAAGTGGTGCATTTGTCTGAGTGAGTTGAATAGACTGATGATGCAGGACGCTGCTGCTTTTTGTCTCCTGAACATTTACAGGCTTCTTGTGGACAGAATGATCCTTTTTCTTTGCCTCCCTCTGCTGGCCGTGCTCCTGCAGCCTGCTTTATGTCTTTACAACTGCCCTTCTGTGTATAACAGGAATCCAAGTAGGTTCAAAATGCTTTCTTTTTCTTCGAAAAAAATAATCAAATTGACGCACATTCCAACATTAAGTTGCAACTACTAAATGTAGAAGTAAGTAGATTTATGAAAGAATTGTCTTTTTTGTCTCCTTCCATTTTTATAGATGACTCAGATCTGCAAGTTTTTTGTGCCACTAACATCATAACCGTGGAGGTGAACTTGTGCACGGCTCAGTGGGCAGGCTTTAACGCCTCAGAGCTGGCGCTCAACGGGAAACACAATAACATTGCCTGTTTGGGTTCTGTTGACACCATCATGAACCCACCAATCATCCGTTTCCAGTTTCCTGTTAACAGCAGTCAAGCTAACTCGTGTGTCCAGCCTCTGAAGGTAAGTGTAGGGAATTATTGGGGAAATAAAAGAGAAACATATAAAAATTAGAACTGGGTTGACATATATAAGCTAACGTAGAAAACTTACCTGTGTTTGTTGCTGTCTTGTGTAGATTGTGGATGAAATCCCGGATCCTACGGGTCTCTTCAGCGGTTTCTCAAGTATCCAGTCAATTATCGTCACGGGGTACATTGACACCCCCAAATCTGATCAGGGGGTGATCAGCTACTCCACAGACCTTTATTACAGCTTCACCTGCCGCTACCCTCTGGAGTATCTCCTCAACAACACAGAGATTGCTGTGTGAGTAGCTTTAAATACTTATTCTTTCTACAGTTTTATTTTATCAATGCTAATAATTTTCTTCTTTCTCTTCTTTCTGTCTTTTTTTTAGTTCAGGCATTTCAGTTGCAACTACTCAAAATAATGGATCCTTTATTGATACACTAAGAATGAATGTTTTTAATGTAGGTACACTTGACATTCAGCTCTTTTTAAACACATAACAGACTTGCAACAAATAACACTTTCAACTAAACCCTATCCCAATCTTGTTTCAGGACTCTGACTATAAATACCCTTTGGTTGCACCTTCAAAGGGACTTCCGTTACGCACAAACATTTATGTGGAGATCAAGACTGTGAACCTCACAGGAAAGTGAGTGAATCCAATAAGGTTGAGTGTTTTTTGGTAAACCCAGTGAATAAAATAAAAGTATTGTTATTTTTTAAAGAAACATCAATCTTTCACGCCAAAGTTTTTTTTTTAAATATCTTGCATTATGTAGTACTGAAAGTATGTGATGAGGGTGACTGTTAACTAATACAATGCCAACTTTCAGCTCAATATCTGAAATTAACTAAAAGTTTTGAGTTTGCAAAAGTTGATAAGCTGTGGTGGCCTCCTGAACCAGGTTGTTTCCAAAAGTGAACCACCTGTAAAGATACATTGATTGTGATAGACGGTCATCTTGAAGTAGATATTCAGTGATAACTTTCTGAGAGTTTTATTAGAATTTGCCTGCTGGTTGGTGAGATATTTTGCTAACATCTGACCAACACACCCACCTTTCAGGTGATACTGAGCAACAACAGGTTCACATTTCTTGTCCTGTTTCCAGTTTCTATGTCCTGCTGGATCGCTGTTATGCTACTCCCTCTCCTTACAACGTCTCACTTACTGAGCAGCAGAACTTCTTCACTGGGTAAGAATTGCGTATTTTATAAACTGTGGGCAATTATTTTTTTCAAAAGTATGTGTTAATTAATGTCTTTCTCCACCAGATGCATAATAGAAGACATTACAACTATAATAAACAATGGCGATTCCACTGGCGCCCATTTTTACTTTGAGGCCTTCCGCTTCGTTCAGGACGGATATCAGAAAAAGTCTACAATATACTTACACTGTCTACTGAGACTCTGTGAGCCGAGCGCATGTAACGCACTGACTTCTGTAAGTTTCTATACACTATAGATGGTTTTAAATTTACTTAAAAAAACCTCTGCCTTCGGTGGCAACTTAAGACATGGAGGTTTTCAGAAACAATGATGTGCTGACCTAATTTGTTGTTACTATGAAAAAACAAAATAACATTGAAGTCACTTTTACCAGTATTTATGATTCAGTGATTATGTAATAATTTTAAATCTCCAAATTTTACTTAATTTAATTCTTTTAGGCTTGTTATAGCAAAAGAAGGAAACGATCTTTGACTCCTTTTGGGCAAAGTAGCAGTGAATCAGCTGCCATCTCAGTTGGACCTCTGTACACAGCAGGAGAAGGTTTATTTTCATTTTTTATAAGTAAATAACATGTTTTCATTTATTTGTACAAGTTTAGGATGAACAAGTTTTCTAACATGTCTTCTACTTTTTTAAAGAATTGCCTGTCACAGCTGCACATGGTGAGTCTTCCTTATTTAAATTAATATTTAATTTAATCATTTTACAGATTCAAAATGAGCATCTTGAACAACCTCCCTGATCTCTTCCTTGTGCTTTTCAGGAAACATTGTTGCATCAGATGTGAATGTTGTTAGCGCCACATGCCTACCCATAGTGGTGGCGTTCGCGTGGCTGCTGTCTGCTTTCTTCTAAAGAAGATGGAGCAGTTATCTTGTACATTTGATTGATTGTTAAAACTGTCTTGGCAAACTGCCTCATCTGACCACATTGTAACTTCAGGTATTTTGTAAAAATATTTAAACATTGTAGAAATAACTCTTTGACAAATGATCAATTAAATCAAGCAAATTCTGTGACCTTATAAGGAAGCGGAAAGCCAAAGAGGAGATACGAGGTGCAGCTAGAGTTTGGCAACCCCTGAAAAGGGGAACAACTGAAAGAGGAGACTGCCGTTTTATGTAACTTTTCCTGTCCCTACTGCTGCAGTCAGAAATAAATCAGTTATAAATAAACAACATAGCCTGAACTGAGGAAAAAAACTAAATTAAATTAGATCAGAGTAACTTTAATGGATGTACACGTTCGCTGAATAAGGCCAGTAATTTTGTTTTTATCGTGTTTTCAGCATTGCCGTACATACTGTAGATGTTTTGCACAATTTGCTTAAAAAACTTGGGTCAAATTCAAACGTGGAGTGTCTGTCTTTATTACAGATAAATGAAAACATCAAACACTTGCTCTCTTACACTCCCGATACATTAATTAAAAGTGATTCTTTTTTTTACATAATTCTAAACACAGTTTTCTTTCCAAATGTAACAGTTTTTTTTACATGGTTCAATTTTGACATTTTTATACACTCATTCATACACAGAATGATTCATTCATTCAAAAATATTTACAGCCTGCTTACAGCACAGCAACATACACAAAATACATTTGTGGACAAGAATGTATGCCACTTAAATTTGATCTGTGCTTTGGTTTAAAAAAAGTGCTTGTTTTTGTCACTGCATAGAGTGCATAATGTCCTGGATCAGAGCAGAGAGTTTCACCGAGAAGTCCTCCTGCAAAGAGCCGCCTTCCTGTGAAGACAAAGAAGGTGGCAGAGGCTGGAGGGAGGCATCGAGGACCTCTTCCTCCACCCCAATAACCAGCTTTTCTATCCGGGCCTGAAGCACTTGGTTCTGTAGGGCGGCGTTTTGGCAGAATCGCTCCACGCTGTCTTTAAGTTCAGACTTCAGAGGCTGAGCGGATTCTAGCAGAGCTGCAAGCTGAGCCTTCAGAACCTCCACCCTGTTCTGGGCCTCCTCCCTTAGGACACTCACTTCTTGTTCCAGCTTGGATTTCATGGCCTGCCACACCTTTGAGTCCTTTTCCTCGTCCTCGGGAGGGCTTGTCGGTTTCAGACCTTCAGCGATGTCCCTGGTTGCCGTGTGGAAGTCGCTGATGATGTTACCTAACCGAAGGCTGCTCCGTTCCAGGCTCTGGCTGATCCATTGGAAGGTGTCCTGATTCCAACCTGGACCGGCCTCCATCTGAGACTCCCCCGTCTCCGGACCCTGCAGGTAGAGACTCAGCTGGCTGCACAGATCTTGGGTGTTGCTGCTCAGAGAGCTCTGGAGCTGCTGAGTGAGAGGGGTCAGACGCTCCCTCATGCTGGCCAGGGCAGCGCTGAGATGGACCGGAGATGGAGATAACCTCTCCCTCAGCTCAGCCAGCTCTTGGCGCAGACGCACGCGCAGGCGCTCGGACTCCATGGCCAGTTTGCGCTGCATCTCCTCTGCCACGTGATTCTTCTCATCGCTTTTATGGCTGTAAAGATCACTGCTGTCTATGATGCTCTTGTAGATTCTACTGCAGCAAGAGGAAACATTTCATCACAACTAAATCCTACAAATTTCTTCGATTTTTACTTTTTTTTAAATTTCAGATTCGTTTGGTCAACTTACTGCACGTCTTTTGTGAGGTCTACTTTGTCATGAGCCTGGTTACCATTTGGGTCAGTCCATGCTGCTTCTCTGGTGTCACTGTGCAATGGGTACGCTACAGGAAAAGAAAGCATATAGTATGAAAAATACATACAAGTTGTACGTAAAATAAAACGTCAAAATAATAAAATACCTAAAGTTTTTGAAAGTGACAGGAAAAAGATCACAGCTCTTAAATGCATTTCTCTCTGTCTTTCAAAGAGAATTTCACACGAGGTTTTTCTTTACACGGAGCAAAAAAGACAATCGAAACGTGGAAAGAATAGCAGGCCTATACTAAAGGAACAAGGGTCTGAGTGACTTCTCCTCTCAGCTGACTTATAAAGGTCCTCGTTATCAGAGAGGCTGCCCAAACTCTGCCTGTGTCAATAAACACGTGGAGGGGTCACACTGCTGACAACACACATGCACAAACACACAGACTCATGAGACGTGAAGTCATGGTAATTTAATCAATCATGTAACCATCATATGTTTAATCACAAAGGAATAATAAATCGCTTTAAGGTGTTTTATTAACATGTTTCTGATGGTCACAAGGGCAGAAAGTCATTCTAGTCATGATATAAAACAAGAAGGCTAGAATACTGATCAGACATGCTAAGCAGCGTAAGACAGATCAGTAATTGCTTCACACTTTTTATCTCAAGTAAAAAGGTGTCTTAAACTTAAAATCCATCCATCCATCCATCCATCCATCCATCCATCCATCCATCCATCCATCCATCCATCCATCCATCCATCCATCCATCCATCCATCCATCC